CCAGGACTCCTCTCAGCCCCCCCAGGCACGCCCCCCCCGACGGCTCTGGGTGCCCCCAGCCCCGAGGGAGCCCCTGCACTCAGGCACGGAGCCACCAGCTCAAGTAATTACAGATGCTTAATTAGCGACAGCAGGGCGCTCTCTTAACAAAGCGAATTAATTACAGGCAATGTTGCATTGAGAGCTGGAGGAACTAATGAGGACTGGGACCATCCTCTGTCCCCACCCCCGGGGACAGCACAGCCTGTGCCACCCCGGCCCGGTGGTTTGGAGGGGACCGGGGTGTCCCCAGGGCTGGGACAGGGCTGGGACAGGGCTGGGACACCCTGTGACAGCCCTGCCTGGGGGGCGCAGCAGGGAAACCACCCCAAAACCCCAACACCACGGGAAGGGTGGAGCATCCATCCGGGATCTTCGGGGTCGAGGGAGGCAGAGCTCAGAGCCCCCCCTGCTCTGCGGTGTAGAACTCTGTGGGGTGGGGTGGGATGGGATGGGATGGGATGGGATGGGATGGGATCCATGGGATGGGATGGGATGGGATGGGATGGGATGGGATGGGATGGGATGGGATCCATGGGATGGGATGGGATGGGATGGGATCCATGGGATGGGACATTATTGGGATGGGACAATATTGGGATGGGATGGGACAGGACAGGATGGAATGGAATAGAGACAGGGAGCAGGGAAGCTCAGCCTGGGGTGATGGAAGCTTGCAGGAAAGCTGCTTCTGTCGGGGGCCATGGGGACAATGTCCCCAGGCTGTCCTTACCCGCTGCTGGGGGCATGCCGGGTCCCACTGTCCCGGTGGCACTGGGGGGCGGCGGGGGGGGCACAGCTCTGCTGGGAGGAACGAGGACAGGTCAGTGACGATGGATGGTGTCCCCTGGCGGTGCCACACCGGGCTGGCACTGAGCCCCGCCCGGCACTCACCGCCCGTCCCCGGGCGAGGAGCGCAGGAACCGCACGGGGGCCGGGCCGGGCACGGGCCAGGGCATGTAGTGATGGTGGAAAACCACGGCCTCCTCTTCCTCCTCGCCCTGTGAAGGCCCCGCCAGCACCTGCGAGAGGGGACAGAGGCAGTGCAGGGCTGGGCTCCGGGGCTCCCAAAGCGCCGCTTGCCAGGGATCGCACCCGGCTGGGTGGGCTCGGTCCCACACAAAGCCCGGGGGGACACGGGGGGGTGGCAGCCCCACAGATGGGACCAAAATCCCGTGGGAAGAGCCCTTTGATGTGTCTGAGAGCCATTTGAGCAGGCAGGGTCCAGCCCTGGCTGGCCCTGCCCTGGTGGCACTGGGAGGGCGGGGGGTGGGTGCCAGGAGGTGCCAGCTGGCAGCAAGCTCAGCAGCTGCCACAGCCCAGCCCTGCCCCTAAAGCTGCATTGTTCCCCCCAAGGAGATGAAATATTTCATATGGTTTTGTTTTGAGATGGGTTTTTAAATGGCAGCCCCTGCAGAGCTCCTGCTGGGTTGGGCTGTGCCTCCTGAGGGTCCCAGCTCTTCCCAGCTGGGCTGAACCCCTGCCCGAGGCCTGCCTGGTGTCTGAGCTGTCAGAGCTGGGCTCCAAACAAAGCCCCAGAACCCCAAAAGGCTGCTCTGAGCTGGGCTGGGACCACCCACGTGCTGCCCCCAGAGGACGTGGTGATCCTGAACAGCCCTGGGGTCCCTCTGCCCCTTCTTTGGTCCCTCTTCCCCCTCTTTGGACCCTTTACCCCCTCGTCGGTCATTTTATCCCCTATTTGATCCCTTTACTCCCTCTTTGGTCCCTTTACCCCCTCTTTGGTCCCTTTACCCCCTCTTTGGTCCCTCTGTCCCCTCTTTGGTCCCTCTGCCCCCCAGCCCCCCGAGCCTCACCGGGGCAGGGGCTGGGTCTGGCCTCGCACCCAGGGGCATCAGAGCTGCCATGGCCAGGCTGTGCATCAGCAGCTGGTGCATTTGGGAGGTTTGAATCAGCATCAACTCCATCAAATCTGCCCGACAATTGGAAATTGTGCATCAGAGAGGGAGCAGAGGGAGGGCAGGAGGGGCAGAGCCTGGGATGAGTGCCTGGGATGGGGCGGCCCCAGGCTCCTCCCTGTTCCCAAGCAGTGGGAGCAAAGCCAGACTTCCCCCACCCCGGTTTGGAAGCCTCATGTGTGTTTTCAAGCTTGGATAAAGCTTGAAAATTGCCGTATTTGAGTCTTTTCTTCCTTGCAAACACGGCTGAACATCTGAGCTGCCTCACGAGGGGCAGTTACTGGGGCTGGAGGCACCAGAGTTCCCTCCCAGCCTGGGAGATTTTCTGCAGCCCTGGAAGTGCCCAGGGCCTTGGGCAGCAGCTGCCCTGGCAGAGTTCAGAGCCTGCCAGGCTCAGCTCTGCTCTGGGCACAGGGCTCAGAGCTCCCCGGGGGGCTGGGGCTGAGCCCAGGGTCCCATCCCCACTCCTGGGGCTGGATCCAGCTGGGGAGCAGGGTGGGGATGCTCAGTGCCTCCTCAGCTCCTGCCTGCTCCACATGAGGAGCAGTGTTCCTGTCCCCTTGGCTGGAGGCCACACTGGGGGTGGCTGCTAAGGGCCATCCACACAGAGGAAGCCCCAAATCTGCCTCTGCACCCCAGAAAAATCCCCATTTTCTGCAGGTGTGAAATTCCCATGGAAAATTCTTATAAACCTGCTGGATTCCCCTGAGATCCTGCTGGCTTCATCCACCCAGGCTGCCCCTGGATCCCTGGCAGTGCCCAAGGCCAGATTGGACATTGGGGCTTGGAGCAGCCTGGGACAGTGGGAGGTGTCCCTGCCATGGCAGGGGTGGCACTGGATGGGTTTAAGGTCCCTTCCAGTCCAAGCCATTCCAGCATTCCCTGGTTCCATGGCCTGGAGTTAAAAAGGGTTTGGATCACCCCGTAGCCCTGTGCAGATCCCCAGAGGCTCCCGAGCTGCCAGGCTGCCTCCCAGGACACCAGGAGGTGGCTGTCCCTGCAGGCAGGAGCCCCCAGCCCCTGCTGGGGCTCTGCTGAGCCAGGAGCACCCCCGGGATTGAACCAGGGTGGGACACGGGCTGCTGGCAGCCTTGGGTGGATGCACCATCCCACACGGGCCAGCCTGCCTCTCTTTACTTCCACACTGATTTGCAGCATCCTTTTTCTACCCTGGGTTTTTAAGGACAGCTCCACCTTCCCCCACCCGACAGCACAAGGTGACTCTGCCCGTGGTGTGTCCCCAGTGGTGGCAGCCTTTGTCCCTGCTGTCCCCAGTGATGACAGCCCCTGGTCCTGCAGCCTGGGGGTAGCCGGGTGGGTGAAGCCCCTCTGGGAGGTGGCACAGCCCAGGGCTCCAGTCCCACTCAACCCCACCTTGCAGTTCAAGAAGCCTGTCTCACCCTGGTGTTCCCTGGGGAAATGTTTCCATTTCCAGCAGGGAATGGGGTTTTGGAGAACAAAAACAGCTGAATTAAAAAAACAAAAACAAAAAAAAAAAAAAAAAAAACCAGCCTCAAATTGTTCCCCGGGAGCATCTTGGATTCGCACCCCGTGGGGCTGAAGGTCCATGCCAGGGCGGGATGGACGCTGCTGAGTGTGCCTCAGCCCCGCTGCTCCCCCCGCAAAGGGCTGGCACGAAGGAGCCCAGGCGGGCTCGGCGCTGCCCCCCGGCCCTGCCCGCACGCACCTCCCCGCACGGGCGGGGGTCCCGCGGGGGCGGCCCCGGGCCCGGGCAGCTGCTGCAGGATCAGCACCGGCGGCCGGGACACCGGGACGGCTCCGGGGGGCGATCCCACGGCGCGGGGCTGCAAGGCAGGAGGGGAGGGAGAGCCCGGGATTGCACATTGAAGGGTTAATGCGGGGTCCGGGCAGCGGGGCACAGGGGACAGAGGGGACACGGCTGGTGGCAGGACAAAGGGGACACGGCTGGGGACAGGTGGGACCGGGACAGGACTGGGGGCAGGACGGGGGGGACGGGGCTGGTGGCGGGAGGAGCGAGTGGCCCGGGGGAGCAGGACGGGAGCCCTGGAGGAGGGAATTTGCTCTCCGCTGGTTTTTCAGGGACACCGCCCTCGATCCTGGGTGACTCCCAGACCTGCAGGGTCCCCACCCCTGGGGACAGGTCCCCGGGCACGGCTGGCCTTTCGGGGTCCGCAGGGCGTTTGCAAACCCCGGTGCCCCCCAAAAACCCCCTGTCCCAAGCCCTCTCCCCTCTCCACACTTATCCCGTCCGTGCAGAGGCAGAAACGCTCCGGGGCTCACCCCGCGTGGCACAAGGAGGGTCCCTGCTGGGGGGTCCCCCCAGAGCCCGCGGGGGTCCCCGGCCGCTCCCCGCTCCATGGCTCGGAGCTGCGGCCGCAGCCGGGATCGTCTCCAGGGCTCCCGGGGGAAACAAACCCTGCCCGGGGGAGGCTGGGCCGCGCCAGGAATGTCCCCGGGCAGCTTCTCCCGGCAGGAAATCCCCGGGAAAGGCCTGGGGACACCGGCCGGGGCTGTTCCTGTGTCCCCACGGCGCTGGGCCGTGTCCCCGACTCTGTGCCTCGTGGTGAGGGGGTGAAAGGAGCAGTTAATGGCATCCGAGGCTCATTAGGGAATGGGAGGGACATTGCATTAATGAAGCCTCCCCAAAGCTATGGATGGGACCCCCAAAAATTTGGGTGGCAACCCCAGAGACTTCCAAAATACTCAACTAGAATTGGAGTTGGAAACCACAGAAACCTCCTCAAAATCTCCCCAGAATTGGGGATGGGACACCCAGAGACCCCTGCAAAATTTGTAAAATTTGGGATCCTTAAACATCTCCCCTAATACTGGAGGATGGGACTCCTAGGAACTCCCAAAAGTCTCCCCAAAATTTGGGATGGTCCCCGGGATATCACCCAGCCCCAGTGGCACCCCAGGGCTGCTCCCCAGGGTGTCACAGCCTCGGTGCCACCTGGGGTCCCAGGGTGTCCATGTCCCCGTGCCAGGTCCCCCGGGGCTGTGTCCCAGCTCCCTGCACCACGTCCCCAGGGATGCAGTGACCACAGGAATGAGCAGAAAGTGCCAGCAGCAGAGCCTGGCTCCAGACTGCTGCTGGAGCCTCCCCAGAATTTGGGATGAGACCTTCAGAAACCCCCCAAAACCGGGGACGGGAACCACAGAAAGCCCCCAACATCTCCCCAAAACTGGGGATGGGAACCAAACATCTTCCCAAAATTTGGATAGGAACCCCAGAGACCTCCAAAAGTCTCCCCAAAATTGGGGGTGGGAACGACAGAACCCCCCAAAAACTTTCCCATATTTGGGACCCCTGCCGCGGGTCGTTCCCAGGGGATTAGTGCCCACCGAGCACAGCCAGCTCCTGGCAGAGAGCTCAGCGTGTTCCCCCCATCCCAGGAAATCCTGGGAATGGGGAGTCTGCAGGAAACCCTGAATTCCAGCAAAATGCCCCCTGTGCCCCCAGAGACCCCAGCCCATGCCGCCCCCCGCGCCCCTGCCACTGCTCTGAGGGATTTGCATGGATATCACATCCCAGATCTGCGGCGCCCCGGGGCAGATCTGAGAATTTTTCCCGGGGTTTCAGCCCCCGGCCAGCTCTCTTCGGGAACAAATCTCTCCCAAAACTCTCGTTCTGCCCCAGAACGGCACTGGGGACCCCTCCCCCCCCCAAATCCCCTCCTCCCCCCCGAGCCCGGCTGCCTCAGCCCCCAGCCCTTGGCTCCAGTCCGGGCTATTTTCTGCTTGACTGGGTTTTTCTCTGTGTTCCTAATTTTCCCGACCCCCTCTGGATTGCTTTTCTGCCTTTTGTTATAATCCTAAATTCCCATTATTTGCCATTTAATTACTGTGCCGCTTCCTGCCCGTTTTGGCAGAGCCCGGCTGGGCTGATCCCGATCTTATCTCCCTTTAGGAGGGATTCAAGCACCGGGATGGGGGGTGAGGAGTCCAAGGGAGCCTCGTGCCGGGGCAGGGGCATGAGAGGTGACAGGGACCTGCTCGGAATGTCCTCAGCCCCCCCACGGGGCCTGAGCCTGAGCCCCTCGGGGGGACATTTTTGGCAGAGGGGAGGGGGGAGGAGGAGAAGGAGAAGGAGAAGGAGAAGGAGAAGGAGAAGGAGAAGGAGAAGGAGAAGGAGAAGGAGAAGGAGAAGGAGAAGGAGAAGGAGAAGAGAGAGAAGAGACTTTGGGAAGTTTTCTTGAGCCAAATCAAACACAAGCAAGGCTGGTCCCAAGCGTGTTGTGCAGCAGGGCAGGGCTCAGGCTGGGCTCAGCTCTGGGCTGTGCCTGGCTCCAGCCTGTCCCCTGTGACCTGTCCCCTGTCCCCTTTCAATCCCCCACAACATCCCCTCAGCCCAACTCCTGAACCTCTTCAAAGCCAGGGTCACGGAGTTAGGGCTGCAGGTCGGGTGGGGACAGCCCCAGGGCAGGGGCACTCCTGGAGGAGGAGCAGGAGGATCCATGGCAGAGGGAGCTGAGTGGCAGGGCGGGATCTGGCCAGGAAAGCAGAGCCTGGGCACAGGGAAATGCCAGTGTCCAGGTGGGATGGGGACAAAGGCTGTGCTGTCACCAGGTGACCTTCCCTAGGTGGGAATGATGCCCCAGCTGGAGGTGCCACCTCTGCTGACCTTGGAGTGTTTGGTGGGGACACATAAAACATAAAACATCCACTGGGAAAACCCAGGAGGGACCAGAGGAGACCCAGGAGGGATCAGAGGATTCTCCAGCCCCAATGGGGACAGATCCTGCTGTGCCCTGGAAGAGCCACCCAGTGCCAAGGGCACCCTGAGGGTGCCCAGCAGAGGATTTGCTGACTTTGGAAGTTCTGGAGCCCCTCTCTCACAGCAGCTCTGGGATTTCTTCTGGAAACCCTCAAACCCCCTCTCCATCCCCAGCCTAGGGCTGGGATCTCAGCCCTGTCCCTGCTCAGGCCCAGGGTGAGCCCCAGGAGCTTTGGACCTGGAGTTTTCTTGTTGGGACCAAGGCCTTGGAGTGGGGTCAGTCCCTGGGGACCAGGAGGGACAGGGACCCTCTGCCACCCCGGGGCCGTGTGGGTGCTGCTGCAGCTCCTGGGATGGGATCGGTGGGATCCAGCCCCTCTGTGCGGGCATCAGCCAGCTTTGGGAACACAACAGAGCAGAGGCAGGCGGGGCACGGGGCGCGTCAGACCGGGAGCACCGGGAGGGGAGGAACCGAGCCCTGAGCTGCCCTGGGGGTGACAGCACATCCCTCCAGCCACTTCCCTTCCCGGGACACCAAGCGGAGCCAGGGAGATTCCCAAAGTGAGGAAACCCCGGCAGGATCAGCAGCCTCGCCCAAGCCTCGGGGGAAATGAGGAAACGCTGCAGCTGAGGCAACACATCCCCCCGAGCTGCTGCCTCCCAGGGCTCCCAAAACCAGTCCCAGACCAGTTTGTCACTGCACACGGGGACAAACCCTGGCTGTGGGATGGCGGAGTGGAGCTGCTGTCCCCTGGGCTGTCCACCATCACTCTGCCACATTCAGGACACACCTCTGGGGACGCTCCCTGTGTCTGGAGCTGTGAATGGGTTTAAGCTCCTCGTTTTGAATGATAACTACAAAAAATCCCTTTTCCCTTCCCAGGAGGTCTCACGCTGCCAGTGCTTTGATCTTCATCGTCCCCAAGCTGCCACCAGCCATCGACAAGTCCTCTTCCTCCGAATTCCCCTTCCCAGACTTGCCTCCTTCCATAGAAGAAAAGCCCAGGAAGAGGCACCTGGCACGGCACGGGGAGCCCAGCTGGCACATCCCTGGTGGGATGGGCACAATCGGTGACCCCAGCCCTCCCTAACTGAGCGTTTGTCACCTGCAGGAAGAGTCCTGTCAGTGACTTCCTTTGCTTTGGAAATGGCTGAGTCACCCCGAACTGGCGGCGGCGGGATCAATGGCAAGGGCCAGGGCAGCCTCTGGGGACATTCCTGGGGCCTCAGCGGGGACACAATCGCAGCCCTGTGCCCGAGGCAAATCCTCCTGTCCTCTCCTGTCCTGACCTGTCCTGTCCTGACCTGTCCTGTCCTGACCTGTCACCACTGCCACTGTCACTGCCACATGAATATGTAATATATATTATAAAACGCCAAAATCGCACCCCCAAAGCCAGGGCTGGGCAGAGCTGGGGTCAGTTTGCAGCAGGGCGGGGTGTCACACCCCCAGAGCCCATCCCAGCACTTCCTGGGCAATGGAGAAGATCGGGAGGGGGGCTCGGGGTGTCCCAGGAAGGAGAGGCAGGATGGGGCAGGGGACAGGGCTGGCATGGGGACAGCAGCACTGCCGGTCACCCTGGGGCAGCAGAGTCACCCTGAGACAGGTAGAGTCACCCTGGGGCCAGCAGAGCTACCCTGGGGCCAGCAGAGCCACTCTGGGGACAGCAGAGTCACCTTGGGACAGCAGAGCCACTCTGGGGCCAGCAGAGTCACCCTGGGGCAGGGCTGGAGACAGCGCCCCTGTCCCTGCCAAGGGATGTGACCCTCGCACCCCGCACCCCGCAGCTCATTCCCGCAGCCTTTCTCCAGCCGTTCTCCAGCGGTTTTCCAGCCCGGCGGCCCCCGAGGAGCCGGGAAGGGCTCGGTGTCCCCCTGGGCACCCCCGGGACCGGCTGGGGGTCCCGAGGAGCCGGAGGTGCTGGGGGCAGTGCCAGCCCGGGGTCCCTCCCGAGCCGCTCCATCCAAGCCCAGCGGAGGGAGGAGCTCCGGCCACGATCCCCGAGCGGTGACATCCAGGCTGGCGGAGAGACGGAGCCCAGCGGCGACACAGACAGCCACAGCGGGGGACACGGGCAGGGACACCCGGGACCCGCTGCAGGGAAGGGTCCTGAGGGACACGGGGCAGGGCTGGGAAGGGCAGAGGGGAGAGGGCAGGGAGGTGCGGGCACCCCCGGAGCCCCGGGTCGTGAAGGAGGAGCTGGGCTGTCCCCAGACCCTCGGGGACAGCACCGGGACCCCCATGAAGCTGCAGCCATGAAGGGTCCCCGGCAGCCACCCCGGCCCCGCTCGCTGCTGCTCCTGCTGCTGCTCCCCACGCTTCAGGTGAGTGACCCTGGGGACAGCGCGGGGACAGGGTGGGGGACACCGGCCATCCCCCCATGCCAGCCACCCCAGGGGCTGGGAGCAGTGAAGGGTCCTCCTGCCCAGGGTGGGGCTGCCCATCCCATCCCATCCCATCCCATCCCATCCCATCCCATCCCATCCCATCCCCAGCTCTCATGCTCCAGACCTGGAGGATGCCCCCCTTGGAGACTTTCCCACATCTCCTAGGGACAGTGTGGTGACAATGGTGCTGCTGGGACCCCGCAGGACCGGGCAGTGCTCAGGGACCCCCAGGGCAGAGATCCCAGGGATGATCCCTTGGGAGTGGATCCTCCACCCCACATCTCCCAGAGTCCTACACACCTGGAGGAGCCTGAGCTCCCTAGGGAGCCTCTCCAGGCACAAGGGTTGGGTGGCTGGGGGTGCAGGGGACAGGGACAGCCGTGGGCAATCTCCAGGACAGGGCCATGGGCATGGCTGGCACCAAATCCCTGCGGGAATGGTGGGACTGGAGTGGTTGTGCTGCCAGAGTGAGAAAAACACCCCTGGGCTGGTCAGGCTGCTCTGGGGAAAGGGGAGGGGAGGGAAAGGGAAAGGGAAAGGGAAAGGGAAAGGGAAAGGGAAAGGGAAAGGGAAAGGGAAAGGGAAAGGGAAAGGGAAAGGGAAAGGGAAAGGGAAAGGGAAAGGGAAAGGGAAAGGGAAAGGGAAAGGGAAAGGGAAAGGGAAAGGGAAAGGGAAAGGGAAAAGAGAAAAGGGAACAGGGAAAGGAAAAAAGGGAAAGGGGAATGGGAAAAAAGGGAAAAGGAAAAAAGGGAAAGGGGAAGGGGAAAGAGAAAAGGGAACAGGGAAAGGAAAAAAGGGGAAGGGGAAGGGGAAGGGAAAGGGAAAGGGAAAGGGAAAGGGAAGCTGGGCTGTGGGAGCACTGGAGGCTGGCAGGGTTTTGGAGACTGATGGCATCAGGGCCCTTCCAGCAGGGAAACTGAGGCACAGCAGGAATTCCCTGACCTGCAGGGACCTCGGAAGGGAGCCCTGCACATTCCCTGTTGCCTGCTCCAGCATCCTGGCCCTGCTGCCATAAATAACAAACCAAACCCAGCAGCTCTGCTGATAAAGAGGGGTGAGAGAAACCACCCTGTCCCTTCCATGTCCCCCACCACTGGCAGGATGGAGGAGGAGAATTCCTGGGCCTTCCCAGTGCTGTGCCCAGAGCCATCCCCAAAACACCTTTTCCAGCCAGACTGGAAATTCCCTTGAAATCTTGTGTTCAGCAGGAAAAGGAAACAAAATCTCCTGTGGGAGGTGAAGGGATGCTGAGGAGCAGCTCAGCCAGGGCAGGGCAGGGCAGGGCAGGGCTCAGCCAAGGGATGCTCACACGTCCCACACTTCCCTCTCTTGGGAAACTCAGGGATCCACCCTCATCCCTCTGTTTCTGCAGCTCTGACATCTCTGGCCCCTCACCTCAAACCATCAGCAACCCAAACCCAGGTCTGGGCCCCAGACCCTGAACCAGACAGCCCTGAACCTGCTGGGATACATGGGAATGGGCACAGAAACTTGGGAATAGGCAGAGATGTGTGGGAATGGGCACAGACACCTGGGAATGGGCATGGACACTTGGGAATGGGCAGGGATACCTGGAAATTGACAGGCAGAGTTCCTGGCATCCCCAGTTCAGCCTCAGTGTCCCGGTTCTCCAGCTGGGAGCCGAGGAGGCAAATCCCAAAGCAGGGATTCCCAGACAATCCAATCCCTGCAGCCACCACATCTCTCACATCTTTGGGATCTGGACATTCTCCCTGGTGCTCCATCAGCTCTGCTGGCAAAGCCAGAGGTGGGAATGTGGGGTTTGCTGAGCCCACATCCCACTGGGATAGTGGGAAGTGTCTGTGCTCATGGCAGGGAGACTGGGATGGTCTGTGGTCCCTTCCAACCCAACTCCATGACTCCATTTCCACAAATCCACAATTCCATGATTCTCCTGCCTGCCCTTTCCTCTCTCCAAGGTGCAGGGGACTCATCCCGACTGCTCCATCGTCCTCCACTTCCAGGAGCTGGAGGCGGAATGTCTGCAGAGGATCCGGAGCGAGAGGCAGAGCCCGGGGCAGGCGGGGCAGGGTGAGCCCGGGATCAGCTCCCTGGGAGCAGGGAGGAATTCCTGAGGGGCCACTGGAGGGTGATCATGGGAGGGGATTGCAGATCTGGGATTTCCAGGGAGATGGAGAGCAGCACCAAGGCAAAGATCAAGGACAATCCCTGGAGAGACCCCAAAATGCTGTTGGGATGGGATAGAAGGGATTGTGGCATACAAACAACAGCCACAACTCAGTCCTGGTGGATTTAGAGAATCCTAGAGTGGCTGGGATCGGGAGGGACCTAAAAGCCCACCCAGTGCCACCCTTGCCATGGCAGGGACACCTCCCACTGTCCCAGGCTGCTCCAAGCCCCAATGCCCAGCCTGGCCTCGGGCACTGCCAGGGATCCAGGGGCAGCCACAGCTGCTTTGGGCACCCTGTGCCAGGGCCTGCCCACCCTGCCAGGGAACAATTCCTAATTCCCAATCTCCCATCCAGCCCTGCCCTCTGGCAGTGGGAGCCATTCCCTGTGTCCTGTCCCTCCATGCCTTGTCCCCAGTCCCTCTCCAGCTCTCCTGGAGCCCCATCAGGCCCTGCAAGAGCTCTGAGCTCTCCCTGGAGCCTTCTCACCCCCACAGGGAGGGATTTGTGGAATATGGCAGTGCTGGATTGGTCCATGCCCCTGGCAGAGTCCCCTGGATCCCCCTGCACCAATGCCAGGGCTGTGGCCACCAGCACCAGGGTCACGCCATGGTGTCACCATCTCACATCTGCTCCCCTTCCTAACTCAGTAAATTGGACTGCCTGACATTTTTTGGGTAACTCAGTTTTCCTATATCTGAGGTTTTAAATGAATTAACTGGTTGAAAAACCAATTTTCAAGCGCTGCTTTTGGACATAATTTTAAAAATTCCATCTCAGTTTCCATCCAAAAGTGGAATGGCCCAAATCCCAGGCAAAAATTGTGATCTGGAGAATAAGGAATGCATAATTCCAGAGGTTTCACCTCATAGCAGTGGAAAAATTAAGCAATAAATGCATATGAAGGTGCATAATTGCTTAAGTAACTCTGCAGAGATGTCATTTATCCTTCAGCTTAGGAGAGAAAAGCCAAATTGATTGGAAAAGGTCCATTTTGCAACCCTAATTGTGCCAGCCAAGGGGAAGGAATCTCACTGCAGGAAAACATCTGAGAAGTGGGAATGCATAATTAAAATCTGGATTTAATCCTGGGGCTGCCCTCATCCCCCTGAGCTGCATTCATCCCTTTCCCTGCTTGCACCAGCGTGGGGAGCCTGACTCCAGGACAGGCTCAGATCCCACGGACGGGGTGGGAGGGCCCTGGCATCTCCTTATTCCTAATTCCCAATATACCATCCATCCCTGCCCTCTGGCAGTGGGAGCCATTCCCTGGGTCCTCTCCCTCCATCCCTGGAGCTTCTCTCCAGGTGAGCACCCTCAGCTCTCACAGCCTTTCCTCTTCCATTCCTTGCACCATTTCCGTGGCATCCTCTGGACTATGGGGGCTACAGATCCCAGAGGAGGCCCAGGAGAGGCTCCAAAGGCTCCTCTGGATCCAGGCTGGGAGAGCTGGGGGTGCTCACCTGGAGAGGAGAAGCTCCAGGAAGAGCTCAGAGCCCCTTGCAGGGCCTGAAGGGGCTCCAGGAGAGCTGGAGAGGGACTGGGGACAAGGGATGCAGGGACAGGCACAGGGAATGGCTCCCACTGCCAGAGGGCAGGGATGGATGGGAGATTGGGAATTGGGAATTGTTCCCTGGCAGGGTGGGCAGGCCCTGGCACAGGGTGCCCAGAGCAGCTGGGGCTGCCCCTGGATCCCTGGCAGTGCCCAAGGCCAGGCTGGGCATTGGGGCTTGGAGCAGCCTGGGACAGTGGGAGGTGTCCCTGCCATGGCAGGGGGGGCACTGGGTGGGTTTAAGGTCCCTTCCCACCATTCCAGGATTCCCTGCTCCCAAGACCCCAAGAAATGAGACTGCTCTCAGGGATGATCCCAGTTCTGTGCTCTCTTCCTGATCCTCCAGAGCAAAAACCAAGCCCCACTTTGGCACTGTGGATGCAAATCCCTCCCTGCCAGGACTGACACCCCCGGGCTGAAATCAGAGGAAATTCATCAGACATATCCAGTTACTCATTCCCTGGCTGGGAATGGACATGGCTCCATGAATAATGTGGATCTGCAGGGTTAATGATGGAGCTGTGCTGGGACAGGAGCTGGCCTGGAGTGGGATGGCCTTGTCCCATCCTGGGCTGCTGCATCACGAACTCCCCCAGCCCCGAGTTTGCCTGGCCGTGCTCATTCCCAAAAAATTTGAGAGATTTAAACAGGAATTCAGCACTGGGTAGGGAAGCAAAAGCCGTTTAAGCTGATGCTTCGCAGCAAGCCTTGCATGACTTCCTTCTGTCCTTGGGGGCACATCCCGAGCTGAGCCTCCAGGTGCAAAAACCCAGCCTAAATCCGGGTTATTTCAGGAGCCACGGGCAAACCCCAGCCCATCGCACACGCAGGGTGTTCCCGCTGGAGGTCGGTGAGACGCAGCCCCAGGAGCTCCCAGTCCCGCCGAAAGGGGATCCCGAGGGGCCCCGGAGCGGAGCCAGGATGCTCCCGGTCCCTGCGGGCACGGAACCGCGGACAGCAGCCAGGATGCTCCGGTCCCTGCGGGCACGGAACCCGGGACAGTGGCGGCGCGGCGCCGGGGCTGCGGTGCCACTCGCGCGTCTCCTCCCGGTGTCACCGCAAGTGTCACCTGGTGTCCTGTCCCTCCCCAGGCTGCCCGACCGAGTGGGACGGGGTCAGCTGCTGGCCCGCCCTGCCCCTTGGCCAGTCCCGAGGTGTCGCCTGTCCCGAGATCCCGAGCGTCTTCAAGAAGTCCAAAGGTCTGAATCCAGCGGGGATCGCTCATCCCACGGCCCCACCCACCCTGCCAGGGCCTCCTGAGCCACCCCAGCCCTTCCCTCGGACCCCACATCTCCTGCCTCTCCCAGAATGTCCTCGGTGGAAACTGCGGTCCCAGCAGGGACAGGAAAAGCAGAGATTCAGGGAGTGCCACAACAGGACCCAAATCCTTTCATCCCTGTGTGGGTGGAGCCCTTGGGGACCTCATCCTCCCTCCTGGTGACACCAGGACAGTCCCCCTGCTGCCCTCCTTCCCCACACACCATCCCAGTGCTTCCAAGCTGGCTCCATCCCTGCTGGAGGGTGGAAAGGAGAGCTCCCACCGGAGAATTGCAGCACTTCCTCAGACAGGAGTAATTTGGGAAATGTTTGCTTTGGGGCAGGAACAGCTGAGGAGAGGCTCGATGGAACCCTCAGAGGATGAATGAGCACTTTTACAGCCTTAATTCCCAATGCCCTTCCCCTGGAGGGATCTGTGCTTGTTTTCTCACCCTATCCGATGTTTTCCTGGCAGCTCCAGGCACAGAGGGGGTGATGGGGTCCAGAGGGAGTGAGATGGGATCCAGAAGGAATAGGGTAGCAATGGGGTTTGGGAGGGAGGGATGGGGTCTGGGAGGGATGTGGCAGAGATAAGGTCCAGAAGGAGCAGTGGGATCAGGGAGGGATGTGGCAGAGATAGGGTCCAGATGGAGCAGTGGGATCAGGAGGGGTTGGACAGCCCACGGATACCACACTGCTGTCCCTGTCTGTTCCAGGCTGGGCATTTTGGGGGTGCCATCAGAGGTGACACCCGTGGCTCCCCTGAGGTTCCTCCTTGTCCTGCAGGGCTGATCCAAAGGAACTGCACCGAGTGGGGCTGGAGCCCCCCCAGCCCCCCCTACCACAGTGCCTGCCAGCTGGAGACCCTGGGCAGCAGCAATGACACCGAGGCCAAGGCACGTGGGACCCCTGGGGCTGTGGGGAACTGCCCCCATGTTCCCACACTGCCCTGTGTCCCCATGTCCCCGTGTCCCCATGTCCCCATGTCCCCACACTGCCCACTGGCCAAAGAACCATGGAGATACTCCTGGGTTATCCCATCTCCCCTGGCTGTGCCTGCTTGCCCCACACCAGCACTTCCCAGTCCCTGTCTCCTCCTCCACTGGTGCTGTCCCTTGCAGAGAGGCCATTTTGTCACCATGAAGGTGCTCTACACCTGTGGCTACTCCACGTCACTGGCAGCGCTGCTCCTGGCCATCGGCATCTTCTGCTGCTTCAGGTAGGGTTGGGAGCTGCTCCAGCTCCACGGGCTGGAGGGACACAGGATAAATCCCAGCAGGAACGGCTGCCCCCAGCCTGGCCCCTCACGGAGCAGCCAGAACCCATCCCAGCCAACAGGAAATCTGGGAAGGCAGGAGAGGAATGGCAGTGTTGTCCTTGCCTGGTGGCCCTCTCAAGTTCTGGTTTTGCAGAGGTCCCTGTGCTGCAGGTTTGGGCTCTCCAGAAGTTTCTGGGATGTTCCCTTGTCCTTGAGCAGCCCCAAGCACAGCACAACCCTGCTCTTCTGATTTTAGAGCAGGAAAGCTTCTCCAGGGCTTTGTGACCATCACCAGCAGTGATCCCTGGGAAGGGGACACCAAAGTACCTTCTCTGCCCCTGTTTGGGCCCAGCCCATCTCTCCCTCCTGCAGGAAGCTGCACTGCACCAGGAATTCCATCCACATCCACTTCTTCACCTCCTTCATCCTGCGGGGCACAGCCGTGTTCATCAAGGACCGTGTCCTCTTCTCGGACGAGTCCATCGACCACTGCACAATGTCCACGGTAAATCCCAAACCCCAGCCCTGGAGTGGGGCAAGGAGAGCAACAGGGAGGGGGCTGGTGGGACCCAGGGGGATTTATCACTGCAGAGAGGAGACAGAGGCTGTGGGATGGAGGAAATTCTGTCCTGGGTGGCCCTGGGGAAGTTCAGCATTTCTGCATTTCCCTCCATGCAGGGAACAAGTTCTGTCCTCAAAACTGCCACTGGCCTCAGGCTGAGTGTCCCCAGTGGTGTCCCCAGGGGGGCTAAAGTTCAGCACAGCCCACCAGCACCAGGTACTGCTCTGAGGTTTTCAATCAAAACAGGGACCCTGAGTGAAGACACAGCACTGAGAACACCACAGACACAACCACGGGGTTTTTAAAGAGCCTACAAAACCCGCCCGTGGTCACCTGCCCGTGGGGCACAGGCAGAGCAGAACCTGGTGCAGGTGATGTGAGGGGCAGAGTCCCTGGGGCTGCACTGAAAGGCCATCACTGAAAGGCCATCACAGGTGTCCTCAAGAGGGTGGACATGGGGGTGACAGTCCCCTGTGCCACCAGGGCAGGGTGTGCTGCACTCTGAGCCGTCCCCTCCTCCTTGGCAGGTGACCTGCAAGGCAGCCATCGCCTTCTTCCAGTACTCAGTGCTGGCCAACTTCTACTGGCTGCTGGTGGAGGGGCTGTACCTGCAGACGCTGCTGCTGCTCACCTTCACCTGCGACAGGAGCTACACCTGGGGCTACGTCCTCATCGGCTGGGGTGAGCCTGGGGACATCCCTGACATCCCCGAGCAGGAGCCACCTGGGAACGGCCTGATCTGACACCCACCTGGCCAGAGCCCTAGGGCTTCTCCCAGCATGTCCCCACCCCAACAGCTCCTGCATGGCCTTGGCGGGCACCCACCTGCTCCTGCCAGAGCCCAGAGCTGCTGGGGAAGAGTGGCCTGATCAGGACAGCTCCTCCCTTCTTCCCACACCCACCTGGGGCTGGGAACGCCCATCCCACATGCCTGGGGGTGATGGAGGAGTGAGGGGGCAGGAGGGTGGCAGGAGGTGACACAGACACAGCACCACCAGTGGGCACCTTCTTCTGGAGAAGGTGGGAACGTTGTCACCTTCCTGCCACATCAGAACTGAGCTAGACACATGTTTCTGGGGACAAGGGACAGAGGGGTGCCACAGAGGCTTCCCAGAGCACTGCAGGGACCATCCCTACCTGTGTCCTGTCCTTGCAGGTGTTCCCATGGTCACAGTCGGGGTGTGGGTGCTCACCAGGCTCCAGTATGACAACCACGGGTAAGAGCAGCTGTCCCTTGGCCTTGTCCAGGCCTCCTCAGCCACGTGTCCCAGCCCAAGTGCTGGGAAATGGATCTTTGGCATGGGATGGATGCTCAGGAGGGGAGGACTGTGCCTGCCCCGAACTTTAACTCCCCTTAACTCCCTTTAACTTTATTTAAATGTTATTTCTGTTTTCTGGTGGGTCCTGTGGCAAGAGGGATGCAAAGGGGTCGGGGTCTGGCCAAAGAAATGGCAGGGGGACAGCTGGGCCACACGGGTCCCAGTGGGTGCCAGAGCCACCTCTGCTGTCCCGTAGGTGCTGGGATGACTACTCCAGTGTGTACTGGTGGGTGATCAAGGCTCCCATCCTCCTGGCCATATTTGTGAGTGTGTTCCCTGAGAATCCCACCCCAGAGCCAGGGTCCCACATGGCCAGGGGACCAGGCCAGGGGCTGTGCAGAGCCTGAGACGTGGCCTCCCGGGACAGGTGAACTTCCTCATCTTCCTCAATGTCACCAGGATGTTGGCACAGAAGATCCGGTGCCCGGACCTCAGCAGAGCCCACAAGCAGCAGTACATGTAAGGGGACAGGGCTGTGCCCACCCCGGCCTCTGGGGTCCCAGGGCAGAGGGACCCTCCTTGGAGGAGCACAGAGGACAGTCCTGGAGCCTCCATGACCTGCCTTTCACACAGAACCTTCTTGGGGTTAAGACCAAGGTTTTGGGGAGGTCTCACGGGGCAGCAGGAGCACCCAGCCCCTGTCACTCTCCACAGGAGGCTGACCAAGTCCACGCTGCTGCTCATCCCCCTCTTCGGGGTGCACTACGTGGTGTTCGCGCTCTTCCCCGAGCACGTGGTCGTGGATGCCCGGCTCTACTTCGAGCTGGTGCTCGGCTCCTACCAGGTGAGATGGGGGGAAAGGCCCCGTGGCCCCACCCAAATCACACCAGCAGCCCCTAGAACGTGGGGGCCTCTTTTGGGAGAGGGTGCCCCCAAACACCCGGGGCAGGGCACAAGGGTTGGACCTGGGGAACCTGGCACTGATTTCCTCTGGGGTGGGTCAGAGGTGTGGGAGGTGGTAAAGGCAGGGAGAAGATGAGCACAGAGGGGTCCAGCCCCTTCCTCTGGGTCAAAATTGTTCTGTCTGTCCTCTCCAGGGCTTCCTGGTGGCTCTGCTCTACTGTTTCCTCAATGGGGAGGTGAGTAGGTGTCCCCATCCCAACCCCGGGCACCACAGTGGGTATGGGGACACCCCAAAGGTGTCCCAGAGCCAGGGGTGGGCAGGGACAGTTCCCCCTCCCCTTTCCCCCCAGTCCCCTCTGCTGGATGCTGTCTGGTGTCCCTGGGCACCAGCACTGCCTGTGGTGTTGGGGCAGGTCCAGGCTGAGATCAGGAGGAACTGGGGCACATGGCAAAGGTCCATGGAGAGCAACGTCTTCAACCTGGCCACCCAGGACTTCACAGCATGAGCAGGACAGCGCTCCTGGGGTGGAGCAGCTCCATGGCTGCGGCCCCAGAAAGACCCAACCCCCTTCATTTCGGGGGTTCTGGGTCTGTCACCCTCAGAGGGGGTTTGGAACAACCAGAAAGACCCAACCCCCTTGATTTCGGGGGTTCTGGGTCTGACACCCTCAGAGGGTGTTGAGAACAACCATGGGAGAGGCTCTGCCTGCTCGGTGCTGGTGATCTTGCACCCTGTGGTCGCACCTCACCCCCGGGGCTCTCACTGCTTCAGGGCAGAGTTTCAGGCAAAGGGAAGGGAAGTTCTTCACTTTCCTACCTGAAACTGGGAAGGAAACACAAAAATCCCTCTCCAAAGGACATCTGATGGGTTTTTGTTTGCACTGAAGGAAAAGGAGCAGCACTGAAGGGATTCACTGATTGATGTTTTCCCCCTTCCTTCGTTTATAAAATCATTTCCCATCTGGGAAGATTCCTAAACATAGCCAGGAGCCCCCCTGGGGATGAAGGAAGGATACAGAGAGAGTCAAAACCCCACACCTCTACAAGAGACCCCCAATGGCCTCAGGACGCAGTTCCTCCCCAGTTCCCAAAACGCTTCCCTTTCTCCCATGTGGGCTGATTGAGCTGGAGATGTTCCCTTCCCAGGAGAGCTCTCCCAGTCCTTTGCTCTGAGGAATGGGATTCAACTGGCTTCCTTGGGGGGCCTTTTTCCAGGGATAGGAAGAGTTTTGACAATAAAATCTCATTCCAAGTCCAGCCTCACTTTTCAGAGGGTCGGTTTGCTCCACAAACCCAGAGAATTTGGGACTGGGGACGCTGCAGGATGAAAACTCTGCCCATGATGGAATGCCTGGAAGTACCTCCCAGGCAATCTCTCTTTTTCCCTTGCCTGGTGAAGCTCACAGAGAGGATGTGGAGGAGGAAGGTGAGGAAAAGCTCAAGATGGGGGCACCATGATCTGTCCCAGAGGTCCTGGGGTGCCCTGTCCCCTCTGGGTGCCCCCATCACCCCCAGCCTGTTCCACCACCATGAACATCCTTCATCCTCCCAGACTGAGCTCCTGCCCTGGCAAGTGGTGCCTCCAGGAGTGAGAGAGGCCCCAAATGCCCTTCTGCCAAACTTCCTGGCCTCTCCCAGGCTCCTGTGACCAGAGCCACCCGATCCCAGCCTTGCTTCTCTCTCTGCCGGGGTTGTCATTTCTCTGTGGTGCCACATGTCCTTCCCTAAATAAACCCCACTTGATGGCCCCTGTCCAGGCTGTAGGATCTCCAGAGATCCCATCTGGGAGGGCACTGAGAGGGAAACAGTCCCAGAGCTGATCTGAGGAGAGATGGGAGATGTTCCATTAAAAACCCTCCAGAGCCAGCACATCCTGAATCATCAGGAACTCTCCAGAGGAGCTCAGGAGCTGTCAATAAAGCCCTCTGTGCAGCCAGGAAGGGAGCAGAGGTGAATGGAATCCCTCTCCATCATCAGTGAGGATGGGATGATTGGCAGGGATGAGACAGCAGCAGGACTGGGGATGCTCAGTGGGAAAACCTGTTTCCATAATACTTTGAAAAACTCTCTATTTCCAGATGCAGATGGGGTTTGGGGGTGATAAATGACCCCAAATGACCCTCTGGGGTTTGCTGGGCTTTGAACTCCATGGGACTTTGAAGCCCTTGCAGGACAGGAGGAGCCCTTGCCTCCTTGTGGCTCCAGGAGGGGACTGGGAATCACCCTCAGCCTGCAAGAAAGGTTTTCCAAAGCTCCCAGCATGGACCACCCCCTGCAGCTGCAAAAGATCATGGAAAGGGATCTTAAAGTGTTGAAAGATACCTTAAATCTCACGGGCAGGGACACCTCCTCCTATCCCAGGCTGCTCCAAGCCCCAATGTCCAACCTGGCCTTGGGCACTGCCAGGGATCCAGGGGCAGCCACAGCTGCTCTGGCACCCTGTGCCAGCGCCTCACCACCCTCACAGGGAGGAATTTCTTCTGAAGATCCTCACAATCTCGGAGATTTTTTCCACCCTAAAGGATGTTGAGGCTGTGTTCGGGAGGGCTGAGCCCGGGCAGGGCAGGGTCAGGTTTCCCGCATCCCCTCCCCAGCACAGCCGGAGTGCCGCAGCCTGGCGCCCTCCTGACCCAGCGTGTCCCCGGGGTGCCGCGTGTCCCCGCAGGCCCGAGCGGTGTCTGGGCACGGGGGAGTTTAGCCCGGAGCCGGAGGGTGGCACTGCGGCCCCTCCGCAGCGGCGGCAGGCGGGGCTGGCAGCGCTGGAGCGCGGTGTCCCCACGGGGCACAGCGGGGCACCCGGGGTGACAGCGGCCACTGAGCCCGGCTCCGAGAGCCCCAGCGAGTGAGGCACGGCTCACACTGCTCTGGGCACTCGGGAAGAGCCGGGACAGCCGAGCAGCCCGGCCAGCCGCGGGTTAACCCGCGATGGGACGGGAACCGGGCCGGGCTGGGGCGCGATGCCTGGGGCTGCCCTGCCCGAGTTCCCGATCTTCCGGAGCTGCCGGGACCCCCCCCGCCTGGGCACAGAGGGTGCCCTGGGCTCCCATCCGCTCCTTCATCCCGATCCGGGATGGTCCCGGCGCTGCAGCTCGGGGAATTCGCCCTCCCCGTGTCCCGGCACGCCGCGAGTCCCCCCTTCCCTGCCTGCACAGGGACCGGCAGAGCCCCGGGGACACGGCGGGGACACGGCGGGGACACGGCGGGGACACGGTGGGGACACGGTTGGGACACGGTTGGGACACGGCGGGGACAGCGCTGGCAGTGAGTAGAGCTGGACAGGGACTGGGGACAAGGCATGGAGGGACAGGACACAGGGAATGGCTCCCACTGCCAGAGGGCAGGGATGGATGGGAGATTGGGAATTAGGAATTGTTCCCTGGCAGGGTGGGCAGGCCCTGGCACAGGGTGCCCAGAGCAGCTGTGGCTGCCCCTGCATCCCTGGCAGTGCCCAAGGCCAGGTTGGACACTGGGGCTGGGAACAGCCTGGGACAGTGGGAGGTGTCCCTGCCATGGCAGGGGTGGCACTGGGTGGGCTTTAAGGTCCCTCTAAACCATTCCCTGATTATGGGATCCTGTGGTGGATCCAGCACAACAAGCCAGGGCACCTCAAATACCCGAGGCTGGACCAAGCATGGCCCTAATTCCACCCTGGAATCCAAGGACACGTTTTTCCCACCCTGATCAGTGTGGTCAGTACCTCTGGGTGCCCCAAGCTCCCATTCCCATTGGGATTTCCTTGGTTCTGCAGACAGAGCTGTGCCCCTGTGTCCTGCTGGGGACCCTCGGTGTCCCCACGTCCTGCAGGACAGGAGACACATCCCAGGGTTTCCAGCCTCACTCCAGGCCTGCTCTTGGGCTGGGAAAAGCAAAAATGGACCTGTGCAGTTTGAAAAGTCTCCCTGTTGTGACAAGGCTGGGCTTGGAGCAGCTGCTGGGAGCCACCAAACATCCCCTGAATTCCCTGCTGTGACCAACAGAGCAGTGGAAAGTCCCCACAGGCACAGCAGGAGGGTGTCCCTGTCCCTGCTGTCCTCAGCAGCCAAACCCCAGGATGCACAGGGAATGCTCCATGCCCCTGGATCCTGGCTGTTTTTCTGCTGCTCAGCCCCCATTGGGCCCCTGTTGGATTCAGCCTTTTTCTGACTCAAAGATGGGGTAACTGAGAGGTGTTTTAAAAACTTTTATTCCATTTTCAGTTTCATGTGAAGGGTGAGACAATACAGATCAGAAGCTAACAGTGCACAGGCTGCCAGTGCCAGCCAGGCCTGTAGCCAGCCCTGGGAGCTGCTCTGGGCTCTTCCCTCCCTCCTTGCCTCGGTTTTATCCCCTCTGAGCCTGCTCAGGGCTCCAAGCCAGCCAGCAGAGCCCTGGTTTTCAATTGAGAGGTCCAAGAGATGCCTCCCAAAGCACACCTTTGGCCTCCCCTGCACAGAACTCATCCTGCACCAGCTCATTCTTCCCTGGAGAGCTGAAATGGCTCCTGCTCTGCCTTATTGCCACAGCCCACACAGGACAGGAAAATTGTGGAGTCAGAAGCAGAATCAGTCCAAGGACCTTCAGTTCCCAGCTCCCTGGTCAGGGCTGCAGGCCTGGCCATGGATATGCTGGCTGTGGAGGATGCTGGAGGGCACAGGGGAGAGGGGCTGGTCAGGGAAGGGGATTCCCATACCATTCCAGGCTGGGAAAGTCAAGTGATGCAGCTCCACTGAAGCCACCCCAACACTGGGAAGATTCTCCAGGGTGTTTTGGGACTGGAAAAGCAGAAATTATTTACAGGAACAGTAGTTTTGGTGGGATGATGAACCCTTCTGACCATGCTGAGTGCTGGAGTGGCTGCTCCACCCCCAACACAGCCCTGAGCACACCAGAAGGGGTGACCCTGCAATCTGGGTGCCCCTACATCCTCTCCTCCTAGCCCTGGAGGCACCTCGAGCACCCCCCGAACCCCAGAAGTGCCTGGGCTTGGCAGGAGAACCCAAAGGCCCCGTCAGGAAGCACAAACGGGGGACAACCCCATGGCAAACCCCTTTGTCTGTGTCATCCTGGTTGTCGCTCACGGGGTCCCCGTGGGCAGGACGCGTGGGGGACATCCCCATCGGATGCTCCTGGGATGTTCTGGTGCAAGAGGGTGCGAGAGGGGGACAAAACAGTGACAGACACCCCTCGTTTGCCGGCAAGGGGAGGAGCGGGATCGCTCCTGGGTGCCGAACAATGGGAATGCCGCCCGCGAGGAGCCACGGGCTCGGGGCAGAGCTGGCAGCGGCGTTGGCACCCGGTGCCCCCCCCCGCCCTCGCAGTTGTCCCGCTGCTCTTCCCAGCGTCTGTCACTGCCGGGGAGGCGCTGGCCAGGGTCTCTCCCACCTCCCCTCCACGTCCCCGCGTCCCTTGGGGTGCCGGAGCCGGCCCAGAGCCGCCGGCACACCTGGGGCGCTGCGCCGTGCCCGGGCAGGGCTGCCCGCGGCCGGGGGCGATGGCACCGCGGGGCTCCGGCCCCGCCAGCGCCGTGATTGGCGCGGCACGGAACGAATGCCACAGCTGAGCCGGGACAGGCTACCTGAAGGAGCCCGCATGTCCTCAGGTTTCACTCATGACCATCTGACAGCAGCAGCAGCTGCGCTGCCAACTCGCCGAGCCAAAGCGTCCAGGAGTCGAAGGAGAGGGAAATTCTGGCCCTAAAAGGTCTCTCCTTGGGATTTCGCACTCTCCACCCAACAGTAAGTACTGGGGTCAGCCCTGGGCGGCTGCTAGGCCCCCGGGCAGGGCGGCAGGGTCGGGGATGTGCCTAGGTTTGTCGCTGTCGCTGTGCCTGCAGCGGTACCGGCAGTGTCCTGGGATTTGCGGTCCGAGCACCGGAGGTGGACGGGACCAGGATGGACCGTGGTGGCTCTGAGGGGTGTTTAGGGCTGGAGGCACCTGCTGGACCCCCCGGCATGGAAAACTGTCCAGGACAGGGGACAAAGTCCCCACAAAGGTGCAGGCAGGGCACGGGACAGAGTGGCAGCAGCCAGCGGGCCCTCAGTGGCCACAGGGCTGCGGCGGGCTGAGGGGACAGTCAGGGACGTGGCGGGCAATGGGCTCCCGAGCCACCTTCCGTTGTCACTAAAGGAGCCACGGGCAGGGCTCACAAGTCTCAGGCTCCTTTCTCCTGGCTTCTCCTCCTGGAGGTCTAAATATAAACCCCGGTCTGGGCAAGCCAAGGTTGCAGGAAAGGTCTGCGGGTGCTCCCAGTGTCTCCTTTCGGGAAGGGCCCTGTCCCTGCAGAGCCCCCCTGCTCCGTGGGGCGGCAGGGAGGGACCCCCGGGGCAGAGGAGATGGTGGGACCCCTGTGCCAGGCGGGAACGTCGGGGATGGGGCGGCAGGGAAGGGGTGGCTGTTCCCACACTGGGGCTGTGGGCACACAGGCACAGCCCAGGGTGGGGTTCAGAGCTGGATCCCCCATGGCAATCAGGCAGTGCCAGGCTGGGGTTCAGCTCGAGGGTTTTGGGTGCTGTGTCCCCCTTGTGCCAGCTCCCATCACTCGCTGCATGGGCAGGGCCCACTGTGCTCCCCAAGAGCCCTTTTGGGGTTTATCCAGGGCCAGAAAAAGAAATTGTCTTTTCTCCCTCCTCCTATTCCCCCATTCCCCCCATTTCCCCCATTTCCCCATTCCCATTCCCCCATTCCCCCGTTCCCCCATCCCTGCAGAGGGGCGTTTGCCGAGTAGCACGAGCATTTCCTGCCCTGCCCTCAGGGCACTGACCGAGCTGTCAGGGATCAGCCCGCGGCAGGCGAGGGATGGAACTGCGGCTGCCAGCAAGGGACAACAATTCCACAAAGCCCTGGGGACAGCAGGACATCCCAGTCAGTCCCATTATCCCGGGGACACCCTGGATGGGTTTATGCAGTGCTGGAGCTGCCTCCTCTGGTTCTTTCCAGGATTTATAATGGTTTGAAGGGAAAAGAGCATATTTACAGGAACTGGTTAACGAGCACAAAGTCCTGCCTCGACCGTGCTGTGCTAATATTTAAATAGCATTTTCTATTTTCTGATATGTGCAGAAGGGTCCGGTTCAGGATTTTGTTTGGCTCTGTGGAGTCCCTTGGGCAACTCCAGCTCCACTCAGGGAAATTTGCTAGATTTGGGGTAGGAGAGGGAGCGGCAGAGCCATGAGGAAATGCCCAGCACCGTTTCTGTTTGCAGCAGGTTGGACTGATGAGTTTCTGTTTGCAGCAGGTTGGATTAATGAGGTGGTTTCTGTGCAGGGCAGAAAGGGGAGAAGGTGGTGGATGCTTTGGGAAGTTGAGAGGGAAAAGATCCCAGTTTAGCTCGGGAGAGAGCAGGGAGGGTGCTCAGCCTCTGTGCCTGTCCTGCTGCCTCCCTCCTGGGATCCATAAATCCCTGGAACATCTCATCTTTGGGTCCCCCTTCTCCATTTCCAGGTGGACCTCAATGAGATCTCTGGGGCTGTGGGGCTCGGCATCTGTGGCAGCTCCAGATGCCCCGTGCTGGTCCTGCTTGGCAGGGGTCTGCGCCAGGGAATTGGGATCCAGGGGCTGCAGTGGGAAAGGGGCATCTTCCAGCCGTGGGAAAATGCAGGCTCCCAATATTGCAAATTCCACGGGAGCAGCACGGTGGGGACCTGCTCCTTGTGCTGTGCTGGAAATCCCTGCAGGAGCTGCTGTGCCTGCTGGCATTCCCTAGGGCTGGGGGCATCCCTGCCCCCCGTGCCCCCGAGCCTGAGGGGCAGCAGGTCACTGCAGCCCCACGCCACTCTTCCTTCCCCCTCTCTGTCCCCTCGCTGTCCCCTCGCTGCCTTCCCAGCACGGCTCAGATCTTTTCCAAGCCTGACACGGGAGCTGCTGGCAGGGAGGAGCCGCAGCTCCGGATGACACCCGAGTGCAGGGTGGGCAGTGGGCAAGGGCAGGGTCCCCACTTTAACCCTTCCCTGGCTGCTCAAGCCTCCAGCACTGCCAACTCCCCCCAAAATAACCCCGTGCCGCCACCCAGGCTGGTGTCCCCTTTCCAGCAATGCCCTGTCCCCCAGCAGGGACAGCAGGAGTGGGGATGGGGTGGCATCCCCGGCTCCAGGCAGGAACGGGTCAGTGCGTGGCTGCAGGATGGTGCAACCTCCTATTTCCATCTGCGGCCGGGGAGAGCATCCCAGGATTTCACAGCTCCCGGGCTGTGTGTGCCACCCCCACGCTGAGCACAGCAGGTACAGCCTCAGGGCACCGAGCCCCGGGAGCTGCAGGGCAGCAGCGATCCGGGAATTGCCGGGAATTCGTTCCCAAGTGGGTTTGGTGCTGCTGCAGGAGCGGCAGCGCCTCTGCAGGGCTGGATTTTTGGGGCTGATGTCCCTGGAGGAGCCGTGTCCCTGGGAGGTTCAGCACGGAGGATTGGGAGGTTCAGCACGGAGGATTTGGCTTTCCAAAGGAAGGCGGGTGGGCTCGGCTGGGTTTTTGCAAGGAGCTGGAGGAGGGAGCAGCACTGGTTTTGGCAGGTGCAGAGCACCCAGAGCAGTGCAGAGCTCATGGAAGGTGCTGCTGGAATTGGACGCAATTCCAAAGGAACTGTGCATCCATCCCGTTCCAGGGAAATCCCGAGCCCAGCACAGCTGCGGGGTGTCCCTGTCCCAGGGCAGCACCAGGCTGGAGCAGCTTGGCTGCTGCCAGGAAAAGGCTGGAGAGCGCTGGGAGGGCTCCTCTCTGCTTGAGACAGGCAAAAAGCAGGGGAGCTGCATCATTCCCATAGCAGGGAGTTCATCCTCTGTGGGCTGAAAATCATGAAATCAGGGAATGGTTTGGGTTGGAAAGACCTTCAAGCTCATCCCATTCCATAGGCAGGGCCCCCTGGCTCCTCCCAGCCTCAGTGTCCAGCCTGGCCTTGGGCACTGCCAGGGATGCAGGGGCAGCCACAGCTGCTCTGGGAATTCCATCCCAGCCCCTGCCCACTCCGCCAGGGAACTATTCCCAATTCCCAAGATCCCATCCATCCCTGCCCTCTGGCAGTGGGAGCCATTCCCTGTGTCCTGTCCCTCCATCCCTTGTCCCCAGTCCCTGTCCAGCCCCCTGTGCTGCTGCCCTGGGTGACCTGTGGGTGACAAGCAGTGGCCTGGCTGGGGGACAGTGGTGGCAGGAGCCGCTGCAGCATCTCAGTGCCCTGCTCTGGCTGGGAAGAGGCACCCAGCAGTGCTGGGCTGGCTCTGGAATCGTTTCCCAAGGACCTTCCCTTTGGCCGGGCTCGGGCGCATTCCAGGCAGCCCTTGGTGACGGATGCACTTGGACACAGCCCCCATCCCTGCTGGCACGCTTGGCCTGGGCCAGGCTGCGGGCAGAGCAACAAACCCCACCCCAAGCAGGGCAAAGAGCCGCGGTGGTGACAGGAACCAGCCCTGGGGATGTGTCACTCACGGGAGCCACCGGTGCCAGAGGTGTCACAGCCACACGGCCCCGCTGAGCGCTTAGAAACATCTGCAATTCAAAGCATAATGGCTCTGAGCTCTCCCTGGAGCTTCTCCTCTCCAGGTGAGCACCCCCAGCTCTCCCAGCCTGGCTCAGAGGGGCTCCAGCCCTGGAGCAGCTCCGTGGCCCCTCTGGACCCGTCCCACACACCCCTGATGTCGGGATGGATGCAGAATTCCCTCCCTCCCTCCCTTTCCTGCTGCCCAGGGAACGCAGCCCAGGCCAGGACTGGGAGGCAGAGCCGTTCCTGGATGTCGGGGATGTGCAGGTCGGGGTGGTGTCCATGGCAGCGCTGGGGATACCCCGAGCTCCCGGGGCTGAGCCGTGACTCAGCCCCAAAGCCTGCGGGACCAGCCGGGCCCGCTGCCCCGCCCTGCCCCATCCCTGCCGGGATGATCGGGATGAAGAGGGAGGGGACTTCCTGGGGGAGGAAGCGGCACCTGCCGGAGTTCCGTGCTGGGCTGGTTTGGGCTCTCCCACCCTCTGCCTTTAAAGCAGCCTAAAAGCCCAGCAAGTTTCCAGAACCACCGTGCTGCTGGAATTCCAGCAGCCCACAGCAGCGTCCAAGAGCCTTTTGGGTGTGAAAGGAAATTCTGGAGATTTCCTGTATCTTTCCACATGGTCTTTGTAATGGAGTTACAGCACAGAATTAAAGGACCACAGTTTCTCCAGGGATGGAAGCATCAGACTCTTAAAGGGCACAGAAAGGAATGTAAATTTGTTTACAAAATGGTTGATTTTGTCTGGCACAACTGAGGGTGCTTATCCGAGTCCCTGAGAGAAACTCCCATAATCCTGAATATTCCACAGCCCTGCTGAGCTCCTGGGAAATCTGCAGGAGCTGAGGTGAATCTCTGGTTTCCCCAGGTCTGGGTGCTAGCACAGCTCCCGAGGGAGGCCCAGCCTGTCCCCTCCCTGCCCCGGGCACACGAGTCCCTTGTCACACACTAATCCCCGCTGCAGAGCCCCAGGCTGGCTGCTCCTGCTGAGTGAGGCTCATTTACACCTGCTGGGGCCATTCCGGCTGTGTGCTCTCCTGGACTCTGTCCCTGTTGGTCCTTGTGAGATTTTTCCAGAGTGTCCCAAGAGGATGAACCTGCAGGGCAGCTTTGCAGGTGAACTCCTCTTAGAGCAGCTCAGGGCAGATCCTTGAGCTGTGTTTGAATGGTCAGGGCATCCCAGAGCTGTTCCCGATGTCCACAGGGCTGGGATCTCCTCTAAAATATCCACTCTTATTTGCAAAGATATTCTTTAAAACTTGTTTCTAGTTCTA